ACACAAACTGTATTCATTTAAAGACTGCTTGGCCCATAAACTCTAGCCCTTACAGGCTAATTCTCGCACCTGGACTAGCCCATTTCTAATCATCTGTGTAAGCACCCCAAGGTGCGCTTACCGGGAAGATTCTAGCCTCCGTCCATGCTGTCCGGGAGCAGAGCAGAGTCTGACCTCACTTCCTCTTCCGCCCAGCATCCTATTCTGTTTATTCCACCCACCTATGTTCTAAGCTCTATGAGGCCAAGCAGTTGGTTTATTATAATTAACCAATTACCTTCCTCCATCACATGCCAACTCCAAAATGGCCACACCTCCCACTACTTCCACTCCATAAGAGATTATGATGCCAAATATATTCAAACTACCACAGTGGTATAGCTGAGTCTTGAGGTAGATAGATTACTAGTTATCTGAGGAATAGACATATTGGTTTCCATACTGTCTATACAGGTTTGCATTCCCAGCAGGAATGAAGGAGCGTTCCCTTTTTCCATATTTTTGCCAGTATGAGATGTCACTTGTGTTATTGATCCTAGCCAATCTGACAAGTATAAGATGAATGATTAAAGTAGTTTTGATCTGTATTTCCTTGAGAGCTAAGTATGTTGTACATTTATTTATGTGTTTTAAGCCAGTTAAATTCATTTATTTAGAATTCTTAATTTTGATCTGTACCATATTTTTACTTATTTGATTTGTTGATGTCTAGTTTCCTCAGTTCTATTTTATTCTGAGCAAGTAAATCCAGAAGCACATAGACATACATGATATGTACTCATATATATGTGGGTATTAGCAATTGAGTAAAGAATAATCACAGTACAATCCACAGACTCAGAGAAGGAAAGTAACAAGAATGGCTGTAGCAGGGGATGCATGGAGCCCACATGAAAAGAGGAAATAGACTAGATTTTGTGGATGAACAAGGAATTGCAACAGTAACAATCATGGGATAAATAGAGGGATGGAGGGAGATACAGGGAGAGATGACTGGAATAGGAAATGTTTAAAGTTTATGTGGAAACCTAATATAGTAGAAACTTTTTGCTAGCTAAGAGAGCAACTGTAGTGAAGATTCCCAGTAACTAAGAATATGGAGCCTGAACCTGTCATCTTCTCCAATGACATATAGCTCCCTGTGGTGGGAATAGAAAAGAAAGCCAGCCACAAAATATTTGACACACAGTGTGTTGTCCTGAAGATATACCAGGAAATTGATGGCTTAAATTACTGTAGTGGCAAACCACTGACTGAACTAACTGAAGCCTAAGTGAAAAGAGACAACCATGACCAACACTGCCTGGATGGCAGGAACAAGAAGTTCAATGGTTCAGAATTTAGAGTAGAACAAAATACAAGTAACAGAAAAGGAAACAATGGTCAATATAAGGATCCCTGGCTCTATTCTAATAAAATCATAACTGTTTCCTAGACTAATTTTCAACAGAGAGCCTTCCTCTGAAAATTGATTATGGCAGATGCAAAGAACTTCACTCAAACAGTAGCTGAATCACTTGGAAGCAAGCAGAAATTTGGGTGAGGGTTTTTTAGAAGCCATAGGTGTCAAGGACACCAAAAAACGACAATTTACAGAATCAACTAAGCAGGGATCATAAGGGTTTAGAGAGCCTGAGAGAGCAATTATGGCGCTTGCAGTGTCTGAGTTCTATCCTCTCAATGTGCACTTTGGTTGCTTTGCTTTGTGTTTTTCTGGGACTGCTAACTGTAAGAGTGTTTCTGACTCTTTTGCTTGCTCTTGGGACTATTTTCCTTTTACTGGGTTGTGTAATCATGCATGGAGTGGGTGCCGGAGACGAGGTGGAATTTCGGGGCCATTTGAAAGCTTGGGGCAGGAATTATTCTTCCATCATCCCCCATGACTGCATGTGGAGCAGCTTCTCTGCCCGGGAACAGCAGGAGAGAGTAGTGAGCTACCGATTCACCCCAGGTGCGCCCCAGGGGAACCCGCCCGAAGCGCCCATCACCCCGGACTGCACTCCCAGTCTGGAAGCCAATAGTAACCGGGCGCCTGCCACCCCGAGTCAGCTGGGCGAACCCAAGACTCAGGCCTGCTCCGGGTCCGAGAGTCCCAGCGACTCCGAGGGCGAAGAAATCGACGTAGTAACGGTGGAGAAGAGGCGATCTCTGGACACCCGAAAGCCAGTCACCATCATGGTGCGAGCAGACACCCTGGACCCCTGCATGAAACATTTCCACATCTCTATCCACCAGCAACAGCACAACTATGCTGCCTGCTTTCCTCCAGAAAGTTGCTCTCAATAGGGGGCTCCAGAGAGGGGTCCCCAGGAACCAGAGGCTCCAGAGGTAGAAGCTCCCAAGGGGAAAGAGGAGGAAGAGGAGGAAGAGATTGTGAGCCCCCCACCTGTAGAAAGCGAGACTCCCCAGTCCTGCCACCCAAAACCTGTCAGTTCTGACACTGAGTACGTCACCAAGAGGAAGAACCATAACTTCTTAGAACGAAAAAGGAGGAATGATCTCCGTTCGCTGTTCCTGGCCCTGAGGGACCAGGTGCCCACCCTGGCCAGCTGCTCTAAGGCCCCCTAAGTCGTGATCTTAAGCAAGGCCTTAGAGTACTTGGAAGCTCTGGTGGGGGCTGAAAAGAAGATGGCTACAGAGAAAAGGCAGCTCTGGTGTCGGCAGCAGTAGCTGCAGAAAAGAATCGTGTACCTCAGTGGCTACTAACCCACCAAAAAGCCTGACTTCTCTGTCACACACACACACACACACACACACAC